GGTATTCTGAAGTTCGGGGTATGGGTTTCAGGATCTACAGTTTTCAGGAGTTTTGTTTTGGACATGATCAAACTACTGCAGACCACCATGTTACAAGACTTCATAGAACATTTGCTGATTAGAATTTGACATTGCCTACCCATGATGGTGTTTCAGATTTTTAAAGTTCAATGGCTTGTGTGTTGGTTCACAGGAGGCACAAGTCCAGACACTGAGAATGATTTTCTTCTGGCTCAGATGATTCAGCTTGAATATGATAAAGAGTATGATCGTACAATTGATTCGATGGAAAAGAGATACAATGGGGAAAGCAAAGGTATTTTCAGCTGTCAGTTTGTAAGTGGAGTTTTTATGCATACACATGCATGCATTATACAATAAACAATGCGTGTATGATATTTGTAGCCTGAAGACTACATTAATTTTAGGCCCTAAATGGCAGTCTGGTTAAACTGAATAGAACTCGGGTTAGCCTGTGTACAGTTACTTGTAGCAATTGATGATGGTAATGGAAATACAATATTAGTTTAAAATTCCCCCTTCTTCAACCAGTCTCCAGTCTGCAATCTGCAAATGTCATCGGCAGCTGTATATTGCAGTTTGAAGTGATAAGGGGCTTACTACTTCCCTGAATGGTACATGTACGTTGCTACTTGATCCCTAGTATCATCATACAGGGACATTCCATTTCACAAGTTAAAAGTCTTGTCTAAGGACATAATGTCCAGTCAGACTCAAATTTTGAGAAGGTCTGCTTTCCCTGTGAGCACACGTACTTGTTTGGAGTTTCGTGGTCCAAGGCACTGCTTGCTGGCTGAGACATGTACATGTAACTTGTGGCACAACTCATGGTTTTGCTGCTTGCTATACAGAGCTCAAGTTTACTTACTTGTTATGATAGCAGCTTCACATAAACTTTTGACATAATTCTACAATAACAAAGTACTGATCTCAACTTTAATTAGAACAACAAAAATAACAATACAAGTTGAGTTGGGATGAAGTGCACCAGTCTTATATTGTGTCTTGGTTGTTTTCAGTATCAGTATCATTTGACAACTTTCGCAATGTTCATCCTGTCCTGAAAGATGACTCCAGTTCTTCAGATTCAGATGACTGGAATGATGAGGATTTAGGTAAGCAAGCTCACGCCGAATGATTTGACAAAGCTTAGACTTTCTGACTGGTTTTTATCATTATAATGTCTCAACAGATCCTCTGAGGCCCTCTAAAGCTCCACCTAAACAGTCTCCTGGAAAGAAAAAGGAAATAATTACCAAACATGATTCAACAGTTTGTGGACGACGCAATGTAAAGATTATGGAAAAGGTAGATTATAAGTTTAATTAATCCTTTGTGCTTTAAAAGTCAAATGCAACCAAATTGCGGCAGCTTTTGTCCTTGCGGTAGCTCTGTGCATCTGTTGATGAAAGTGTTTTCACATTTTCTGTCCTGTTTCTTTTGCAGTTCCCACCAAGTTTTGCAGCAGGTGATGTTGGCAGTTCAACTCTTGATCTCAAGCTTTCTAATAGTGTATTCAACACTTTGAAGCAACACTCTTACCGCGAGGAAAGGCAGAGTGCTCGACTTCATGAAAAGAAAGAACATTCAACACATGTACGTAAAACTCTGTTGAACTTGAGAATAATTGTTGTTATCTAGGACAAGCATGTCATCCAGAATGAGGTGGTGATCTCAGGGCACTCGCAGGAAAAAAAATTGAAATCCAGCTGCCTAGTGGGCAGTACATTTCAGTTTTCAGTTGCCCCCAGTAAAATATGACTTGCCCAATAGGCATGCAATGTTCATGCCTTATCAACTACATCATTTACTAGGTACTGTCTATAATGAGTGATAGACCATATTAGTGACTTGCAAATTTTGTTTTGCATAGAAAAAGGTAATATACAGATGGACAGATTTTTTTTTTGTATTCTTACTAGTCTTCCAATTGCAGTGATTTCTTGTTGTTACGGTTGTTTCTTCGTGGTTTTGACATGGATTCTCATGAAATTCATTTTGTTCTCATCTTGCAGTCTTAAGTTTTGAAATTGCTTTTGATTGGAAATTATCTCTAACAAGACTATTGAGGCTTATTTAACTTGCCCACTGGACCACCAAACTTCCATTTTTCACTTGCCCAAACGCAAATTAAAATTTGCTCACCCCAGGTAATTGGACGTGGGTTTTTTCCTGCCCTGGTACTGTAAATTGAATTAGGCTAAAAGGCACCATGCTTGGAGAAAGGCTTGTAGTACCAGCTATAGAGCAAGATTTATATAATTTTTGTAGTCACCATTTCAATGACTGTGTTTATTGTGTGTTTACAGGAGCAAGTGTTAGATCCAAAGACCAGACTGATGTTGTACAAACTGGTAAATGGAGAAGTACTGGAAGCCGTGAACGGCTGTATCAGCACAGGAAAAGAAGCATGCGTCTTCCATGCTAATGGAGGAAGGTTTGTGAACTTAGTCTTGATAGGCATATTCTCAAGAAAAAAATTGAATTAATTTATTTGGTCTGACATTGACTTTAGTTCATTTTTGAATTTGAAGGAGAGAAGAGGAACCCATGCCAGAGGAGTGTGCAGTGAAAGTGTTCAAGACAACCTTGAATGAATTCAAGACAAGGGATCGTTATATCAAGGATGACCATCGATTCAGAGATCGCTTCAGCAAACAGAATCCCAGGAAGGTAATCAGGCTCTGGGCAGAGAAAGAAATGTGTAATCTAAGCAGGTTGGTTTCTTTTATGCTGTTTTTCTTGTTGATTTCAATCAATGTACAGTGTTCATGTGATTAGTTTTTTTTTTTTTATTAACAACATGACATGTATATGATGATGATGATTATGATTGGGGACACTATTTACACGTTAAAATATATCTTAGCTACATAAATATCACTGTTGACTCATTGACTCGCTTTAGGAGTAAAACGCTGATGACACAGACTCTGTCAACAAACAAATGCGCATGAAATGTATCAATTAGTTTTAATTGTAAATATACTTTATATAGATTTTTGTTGCTTTTTTAAATTCTTGGCATGTCTGTAAAGTAGCTATTTAGCTAAGTGCATTTAGCCATGTTAAATAAAGGTTATTGTAATTAATGTTTATTATTGTTTACAGGATGAAGAAAGCTGGTATTGCGTGTCCTACTGTTGCGCTCTTGAAGAAACATATTCTGGTCATGAGTTTCATAGGCAAAGATCAACAACCTGCGCCAAAACTGAAAGATGCTGTTCTGTCTGCACGTCAGTTACAGCTGGCTTATGAACAGTGTGTTCAGGTACCAAGTGATTAACTACAAGTATTGCTATTAGATGTATATTTTAAAACTAGTAGTAACCAGAGATTGGTGAAGTGCGTTCGATACCGGGGGGGGAGGAAGGGGGTACTCTAGCAATTTTTTGATAGGGTGTGTTGCTAGGAACATGACATTTTTTGGGTTATAGCAGTGGATATTCAGTTAGTATTTGGACACCTGATTGTAGGCTGAGTACCAGAAATACCTTCTCTATTTAATATTTCGAATTAAATAATATTTCATACTATATTTAATAAAAAAAATCAGAAGCTCAATTCTTTTTATATCAAGATCCCTGACTGTTTTGCCAGTTCCTGATTCCTATACCCAAAGCAGACTGCTGGAAAAGCATACCCTTGACAGCA